TGACTATAAAGAAATCCTATAAGGAGCAGTGAAATATAAAAGCAGTTTGAATATATGAGACCAGGGTACAAGCCTGAACACACAAACAGTTTTTCATGCTATCAATGCAAACACACCTACTTTATTATTATACTTACCATTTTGGAATAAATAAGGATTTTTGACTCATGAATGAATACAGATTTTAAGGACACAGAGAACTATCATCTCAGCCAGAGAGAACCTGAAAAATGGCAAACTTTACTCAGGTTTGCCATTAATTCTAAAGGAAGAAACAAGATTTTTAGTTTTACCCGAGACAAAAATAATCTGTTTGAGAAGTTGCAGGGGAGGGACAAACCCTCTGTCTCGTTTGGAAGGTGGGCTTGGACAATAAAATTACACCAAAAGCAGTTTGGAAACACAAAGAAATCACATCCAGGTTAGGGATTGATTTAACAGCAAAATCTTAATTGTTGAGCAGTTAAAAAAAGGCCACCGTGAACATACCCAGCAGTGAGCCCTGGGCTGGATCTCCAGGAAAACGTCTTCTGGATGCTTCTCCTAAAGACAACATTCCTTCCTCCAGAGTAGGGAATTCTGACAGGTCATTCCTCTCACATGTCAGGCCAAGCTTTGTCTCTGAGGCAGCAGTTAAACAGCTGGAATCTACTTCTGCTGGAAGCTGGAACCATGGCTCAATTCCCTAAAAAACACAACAGGAGAGAAAAGTGCTCCAGCAGCAGCAAGGAAGTTTTATAGGAGGAAATAATTTCCAAAGGAAATAATTACTAAGTACTGAAACAACATAATTACTGATTCTAAGTTGTATTTCTTATACAAATAGTCAGTTTTTAATGTAAAAAAAAAATTATAAACTAATAAAAGCAATAAAATACCCCAGTGAATGATCAAAATCCAGCACAACCCCTGTTTAATACCTGAAAGTCTGAAACGCTACGAAGGTATTTAAAGCTCTTTTCCACACCAGAATTTTGCTGTGGGAGCCCCAGTTTTTGCCCAAGGTTCTTCCAATCGTTCACAAACACAACTCTTGATCAGCTCAGTCCTTCCAAACCACCTGTGAGCACCTGGAATCCTCAGAGCAATTAAACATTTGGCAGCACATCTGGCAGACGGGAGCAGTCGGGATG